ACCTGGAAAAAAACGAGTTTAAGGTTGACCAGGCCCTAATGGACGCTCCTTGTTTTCATCGCCATTCATGACATTGTGAATAGAAGCATATTTAGGCTGCTAAATCACTTCCGGTAGCCTATAAATATATCAAGCTAATACTTGAAAACAGGCATTCATTGTAATATCGGCAAAAAAGCTGAATTTTTTCCTACACAGTTGCTCAATTATGTAAGAAAATGTCAAGCCAAGCTTCTATCCCTCTTACATAGTCAGACATCAGCTTTCCTACCTTGCAAATATTCAGTGCATCATTGTAAAATTTGGAAAGGCATTTTAGAGTGCATGACATAGTTTGTCAGTAACTAAGAAGCAGCTCAAGAAACATTTTTATTGTTTTTTGAAAAAAATTTTATACGTCGAAAATATAGTATTTCTACTGCTTATTTCGCAGTGTTATGATGTTACTTATATAACTTAGAAAACTGAGCGGTTAGCAAGAACCCGGTCTCAGGCGGGAATCGAACCCGTGTTTCATCCTATTCGGGGACGCGTGCTCTAACCACTACACCACCGAGGCACCTTTGCCTAACCACTCAATTCTCTAGGTTATATAAGTAACATCATAACACTGCGAAATAAGCATTATAAATACTATAATTTCGAAGTATTATATACAACAATAGCTGTCAGCTTAACGGGATTTTTAGAGCGAAATCGCATATCCGACCGAACCTGCTAAAGGTTGGTGGCTGATAGCTAACATAGAGATGTTGAGGACTGAGTGGTCGGGCAAATGTGCCTCGGTGGTGTAGTGGTTAGAACACGCGTCCCTGGATAGAATGAAACGCGGGTTCGATTTCCGCCTCAGGCCGTATCTTTGCTCACCACTCAATTCCCTAAGTTATATAAAAATTTTATTCCGACAACGAATCCATCAACTTATCAACGAGGAATATAACTTAACACCATGTGAGGTGAAGAATAAAAATGTCTACTTTTCACTTTACTACATAACGTCTTAGATGCGCTGGTTTCACAAGTGGGGACAAAATATAGAAGCTTCATTACATCCACACAATTTTGCTTGAAGTGATTGTTCTGCAAAGTGAAGATTTCTTTGCTACATTAGTTCGATAAAATGTCACTAATGCTCGGCAAAAGCTGTTACTTTAGCTGGTAATCTGCAAATTACGTTTTTACGTATGTTCAAACGATAACTTACCTTGGGACTAACATTTATTCTATCCCACAATGTGGCGAATTATCATTTTTGATCAAAATGATGGATCCGTGAATTGCCTGAATGGCGTACCACAAGCTCTGAGAATATTCAAAGTGCTGGAAGCAAAGTTGGAGACCATTATGACATATAGTGAATAGCAACAAGCAATGAATAGCAGAGATAAACATAACACACTTTATAGAGAACTAACTAAAATATCTCCTATAATTTCGTATGCTTCAAACCCTAGAAGTCTTCTAGCCATCTGAAAATCATTATTTGCTGCCTAAAAATCAGGGGCTCCGTAAACGATATTTGGATCAGACATTCTCCGAGCCGGTAGCCATTCAAATTTGAGAGTCAGGCGTAATACGTTTAACAATATAGTTTATGTTACCGCAAACTACATAGGTCAAAATGAATACAGTCACGAGATGCAAATTTTCTTAAGTCATTAAGAGGGCACTACGGTTTTCTGAAGTTCATGAAGCCTCTTCTTTCCTTTTTGCATCGCAGCGCGTTTTTGAGACAAGAAAACACTTGAGGAAATGAGATTCTATACGAGACAAAATAATGTCCTCCAGTTTGTTGTTGCTTTTCGGAGATGCTACATTTATGCGGGGAATGGTGATAATGTGGATCCTAGGAGTCTTCCAATCGACTCAATATCTAGCATCCCATCGGCTTGGAATTCGTTGAAGTTCGTAAGCTACTAGGTGATCTTCTTTTTACTACAGATGTGGGAAATGCCAGCCCAATTCGTTGTGTCTCGATAGATCCATAGGAGTATTACCGAAATTCAGCATATTCGGTCGCCCTTTTTGTAAAATTTGTCGTCAACTTCGATGGTAGTATCTAACCTTATTACCACCGCCGTTATCTTCAAATGAATTGAGTAGTTCTAGTTCACAGCTATTTTGATTGCCATTGGTGTAGCATCAGTTTCGACTTAAGGAACCGACCTTCTTGTTGTCGTTGACAAGACCTATGCCATAGTCACGATCCCGACATATAACTCGTTTCGAAGTAAAAGACGAAAGCTTTTGCTTTGTGAAGCTGTGTATTTCTCGCAGGTGTCATGTTTCAGTCTTCAAAATTTCTCCGGCCTTTGTGATGAGCTCTTTCAACGTTTCATTTCATAAGAATGCCGACAAGCGAGCAAAATTTTGATTCTGATGTCATGTAGAAGCGAACCCGCATTTATGCTTTCTGCTTGTTTTTCACATAGCATCTTTCCATTCAAACGATACTCTGCGAACAAGAACGACGATTAGGAAGTAAATGAAAAGTTGAATTGTGTTTTCAGTTCAATTTCTCAAGCAGTTTATATAACATGCTCTAAATGGATAGTAGTTCGATTTCTGTTGAACGCTTTCTTGAAAACTACCTATTTTTGAGAACAGTGATCGCTTTCTCAACAAATGTATGAATACTCGGTTTATGAAAAAAAAAGAACCAATGATGAACAACTAGAATTAAACGGTTCTCTGAGTACGGAGACCACCTTATACGTATGTCTTGCAAATTCATTGAACATGGGCAACAGCATAAAGGAGGAACTTGACAGATGAAGAAGAAGAAGAACAGTGTGGGCTACATGAGGGGTGTATTTTTTTCTGGCCTATATATTTTATATAACATGAATGATGGAGAATCAATGAGGATGCGTTAGGAGCAGCGTTTAGTGATAGAGCAAGAATCACTCATGAGGTACTAAGAAAATGTTTCCCTTCAAGGTGATTGATGAGAGAAGAAAGAAAAGTAGAGCGAAGTTAATTAGGTGTAATAAAGGCATTTTGTCAAAAAGTAAATAATAAAACGATGAGAAGAATAGAAGAAAGAAATGCGCTTGTTTGATAGAAAAGGTGTTGAAGCTTAGGGTGTCGGAAGTGAAAGGCGTAATCATCCATGCATAATAACGACGTCAGAAACAGGATCGATCAAAAGTGCTTAACAATGTTTTTCACATCCTTCCATGGTTAAAATTGTTCAGAAATCTTGTAGAGTAACTAGATAATTTTCTGAAACCGAAGCTAAAATCTATACGTATATGCGTTGAAATTTTCGCGGTCAATTGAACTGGTAGATGAAAACCATCGCAATATTGAGAACAACAAGAAAGTTGGTGTTGAAATGTAATCACTTTTACGCATCTAACAAAAAGTGGAAGGATAAATGAGTGCAGCAAAAGGTTACTTCCAAGGGATGAGCTTATGACTTGGACTCTATTCGCGTCATCTTAGAGTGCCTGTACCGTGACTTACGAGAATCCGCCGATAGTTCGATACTGGAGTAATTGTGATCATTACAAACCAGTTTACCAATAAGCAAAGAAGTTCATAATGAATTCCAAAAATTGCCTTCTTTGGCATCTATACATGTACGAAGCCGCTTGGAAAAAGTTCCAACGATGCTCGCACACGCTTTCACCGCAATTTTTTCCTAAGCGCGTTTACGATAATGTGGTGAGTAACCGAGACTTTTTCCTCCAGCAAGGATCACACAGAGTACAAACATTGGGTTGAGATGCGGCGAGTTTGACGGTTCAGTGTCTTTGCGCCAAAAGTCTAGAAGCTGCTCTTGACAGATGATAATCGTTAAGTGGGCCGAATGCACAAGGGCCCCGCATTGCTCTAGCGTGAATCCGTCAGCGCCAGTGTTGAGTACTCTAAGGCTCAGTGACGTCCCATGAAACTTCCTGGTGATAGCTGTCAGCGTTGGTTTTGACGTTCCCATTGATGAAGATCAACGGCGTCTTTCCGGTAGCACAAACGCCGTCTTAGACCATTACAGAGGACGGAAAATAACTGCGGCTCATGGTTTTTGCTACTGCGAGCTCTTGCTAATCCTTCCTGAAAAGATGATGCCTACTCTGGCGATTGTGGGGTGGCTTGGCCATGAATTTCTTTTCATGCGTTGAAAGCAACCTTGACAAACGAGCACCACTACCGAAAGAATTATCGGGAAGAGTTTTTAAAAGCCTTTCTTCTTTCATCTTCTTGTCCAGAAAGTGCAGAAGAGCTGTAAATGAGCAGCTTCAACTTTTTTTTGTCAACGTTTCAGACGCTTCAATCGCCGATTTCAAACTCCCGGAGCTATTTTGCGCATCGAACGCTCCGGAATTCGTTGAATTTGGCCATTGTTCCTCAATTCTTTCACTCTCTTCGAAACATTTCACGGTTCTGTAGGCACTTGTTGGTTTGAAACGAGCCGATTTTAACAATGTTAAGTGCTTTTATTTCCTTTTTGTGCAAATCTACTATTGCGATACGTTTGAATTCAAGACACCTAACCTTAGAACACCTAGAAATAGACGAATAAGTGAAACAGATTTTAGATCAATATTGGACAAAGGATTCATTGAAATTATCGGCATTGATAAAAAGCACTATATGAGCTCTAAATTCAACAAAATACAGAATAAACGCAGCTTTTCATGCATTCTGTGCCTTATATGTATGCGTGTAATACATATGTATTATACTATATAATATATATATATATATATGCATGTCTATATTTTCAAAATTTCCAGTATTTTTACTGCATTTTTCGCAGTGTTGTAATTACTCATATATTCCTAAGAAAATTGAGTGGCGAGCAAAAACACGGCCCCGGAGGAAGTCAAACCCCCGTTTCATTCTATCCGAGGACGCGCGCTCTACCACTACATCACCGAGGTACATTTGCGTCTTTATAGAGCAAAATCGCATACCCACCAAACCTGCTAAACGTTGGTGGCTGATTGTAAAACATAGAGATGATGTACGAAGGAGTGGTGGCGCAAACATGCCTCGTTGGTGTAGTGGTGTAGCACGCGTCCCCGGGTAGGATGAAGCGGGTTCGATTCCCGCCTGGAACCGTGTTTTTGCTCAACACTCAATTCTTTTACGAATATATATTTATATACTTAAACACTTGGATATTTCGACGACTCGTTTTCTTAATTGGTAGTGCGAGCACCAGCATATTTTCGTCTTGCTTGCGGAATTGTCGCTTGTGGTGGTAGCCTAAATTGAGCATAGTGACGCAAGCGAGGGTATTCCGTGGTTGCAGACTCGTTCCCACTTGCAAATGCAGACGGTTGACTTCAGCAATAAACACGCACGCCCATCGTTTGAGTGGTATTGGGAGGTTGCTTGCATCTCTCAGAGTCCACTACACTGCTCTTTTTGCCCACCTGTTCTGTAATCTTCTTATTATGTGACCGGCCCATTTGTGTTTCACTGCTGATCTAAATATTTGTGGGTCACTATGGTGGGATAGATTTGAAAGGTCTAATCCGCGAGCTTGCTAGACGTTGCGAGCGCCGCCCAAAACTGAGAAGGCATTGTTCAAGCGCTCTTTGAGCAATGAGCAAATTTCTTGACGTGGTTTGCAGTATCAGTCCAAATCTTTGATGCGTAATAGACTGCTCTCTGAATGGAGTGCTGAGTCGAAAAGGTGGGAACGGAGCCTAAGGTCCGCTTTCTGCTTGATGGCTTCTATGAGAAAGTCAAATGCTGCTCATGATGCTCTCCACCTTTTGTCTAATTCCTACTTCATGCTGTTCTCTGTGTTCACTTAACGTCCAAGGTACACGTACGGGCTGGTCTCCCTAATTACAGCATTATTCAGGTTGTTTAGTTCACCCTTGCTTCATGAAATTTTCATGAAGTGGCTCTTCGCCGTGTTTTATGCAAAACTCAATCTTCTTCCCGCTTATCGTCTTTACTTATTTTGAAAGTGTTCCTTCGTTTTGTAGAAATTTCCTTTCTTGTGTTGAAAATTGTAAAAGAAAATTTGCTTAGTAAGCTGAGAACTTTGTTCTCATTTTACATTGCCAAATAGGAGCGCATGTGGTGCACTGGTTGGAGTGCTCCGTGCCGCACACAAGGTCGATAGTTTAATCCCATGCATATGGCTCACCAAACCTTCCAACCTTCTGGGGTCGGTGATCAATGCAGACCTGTCTGGGAAGATAGCAGCACTCATCTGATACATTGATAGACTACAGCGAGTCTTTGTAAAGGTCAGATATGCATTCAGTCACCTTGAATGAACCTAAAAATTGAACGCGATTCTATGTAGCATCACTTGAAATTGAACAACGCCGAGAGCCTTATCCTTCACCCTTTTTTGCCAAATATTTTTGTCGTCAAATCTACCAAGCCTAAGCTTAGGCAGCTTAGGCCTACGCCTAGGCAGCCTAGCCTTATACACGAAGCATGCGAGAATTTGGAGGAAATTTCGAAGTACGATAATTATACACTTCATTAAGGGTTTTAAAACGGGAAAAAACCCCGTAAATTAAATAACAAGAAAAATCTGGTGAATCAGACTGCGCGATCGATCAAGCCGCCCCAAATAAAATGCCACCAAGTGTGAAACGTTCTTTTCTTTTCTTTTCGCTCTTACACTGTTCTATAAAGATATTTTCAAAAATGGGATTGGAAACTGAACATGAACTGCACTAAACGTTGTACGAAAAAGTTGGGTTTCTTTCTGTTTTATTGTTAAATAAGCTAGAATGAGAAGAGTGCTTTATAAGATTTGTTACATTCTTTTAAAAAGATAAAGCAAAGTGTATTTTAGAAGTATGCCATATCTCCTACTTCATACTCATTTATTTTCCGGAATTTCTCTGTTCTCGGAAACGTATTGCTGTATTACGTGAAGCATATAAAACCCAATTTTTGAGTTGTGATTTACTGCCATTCGGTTTCCAGCAACGAGGATGAATCATAAATGTCGCATGGAAAAAGTAAGATAAGAAGTACTAAAATGCATGCTGTGAGATCTTTCGAGATGCCGGCAGCAAAGTGGTGTGACGGTGGACCTCAGTAAGTGTTGGAACTAATAACATCTCTTTTAATCGATAAAGCCAACTCTCCTTTATGACCTTGGGTCCTCCACAATCTCACAAATCCTCAACGTGGGAAACTGACTATTTGTTTCTCAAAAACAACGCTAACACTTACTATGTACGGTGCTTTTTTACTCGAGTATTACGTTATCTGCAGTGTTATGAACTTATTTGTCACCCTATGTGTAGCCACGCAAAGGACACGGACTTTACGTGCTAAAGAATATATTAACTAATGAAAGAAACGCTGTTGTTCGTCTTTTGCAGATTCTACGTGAAAATATCATTAACAAGCATTATGCTTAGCAAATTATAAGGCCAACAGAACCGTTCACCTAATTTTACTCGTAGCGCAATCAAATGGACACTTTTGAGGTGGTCGTTGTAGTCACTGTCAAGAAAAGCTGCAGGAAGGTGGATGAAGTTGACTTTGTGCATAGAAAAAATATCCCTGGAATTAGTAGAGAGTCTTATCTGCTTCCAATACCTATTTTCCTGCTCACAATTTGTGGAAATGAGCGGAATTGACGTCATTCAAATTTTATGTGATGCAGGGCTTTTTCCTAGTCATGCGTCATCACAAACAATTGATGTAAGACGAATTTCTTCGCGTTATAATCGTGACTTCCTTTCTGAGAGAGAATAGCGTAGTTTTGTTGAGAATTAGCTGTTTCCGCATACAGGAGGATAGCAATGCACAACACGGCGTTCACGACCATTGAGGACCATCATGGAGGGAACTCAACACTGAGAAACCTGTTTTTTTCTTTCACACGAATATAACTCTACTGAAGCCAGTTTCCTGAGAGCTAAGAATTGTTCTAGCCGGATAGTGCGAAATGTGAGAGATTTTCTTGGAATGGGCCATCACTAAGATCAGATTACTACAGTAACATTTGATCCAAAATAGCACTTGTATCACCTGTCGTCCCGTTGATCGTCGAGTGACTCGAGCGGATACCAACAACTCTTCCATTTTCCCTATCGCGTGCAAGAGTAGCCCACTGGGTCCTCCTTACTCTAGATATTCGCTGAGCATCATATCTTTCTTCTATCGCTTTCGTGAAGAAATCGGACCAGCGGATCAGTGGCCTTCCTTTAGTGCGCTTGATGTCCCGAGGAATCCAGTCGGTAACGGCTCTCGTCCATCGGTTGTCGTTGAAGCGCATCACGTGTCCGGCCCACCTTATTTTTGATATTAGCGTGTAGGACGGCGTCTCCGATTTTCGATCGCTGACGTAGGTCGGAACTTCGGATCCTTTCTCTCATTTGCGAGATACGGGATACTCCTAGCATCGACCTTTCGACTGCGCGCTCGATAACGCCAAGTGATCTTTCATCCTGCCTACGTAGCGACCACGTTTCCGCTACATACGTTAGGGCAGGGATAATTGCCGAATCAAAAAGGTGGGCACGGAGTCGGATGTTCTTTGTCCTCTTCAGTACATCTTCGATGCTCTTCAATGTTCCCCAAGCCGCTCGTTTCCTCCTGCTCAACTCTAGAACTAGGTCGTTCACCATGTTGATTTCTTGTCGTTCCGTTGAGTGTGAATGGGACATTCGAAACCTATCCGTTCCTCATAAACATCGTTTTCTTTAAATTTAGTTGAAGACCAATCTTTCCACAGGCGTTATCAAAATCAGTCAACATTTCTGTCAATCCTGTTTGGGATGACTCGAGTAAAGAGTTTATAGATAACGGACAGTAGGCAGATTGGGCGATAATTGCCTATGTCGTAAAGTTTGCCTTTTCGAAAACAACACGGCTTTGCTGGTTTTCTATTAAATGGGAACCTTGCATTCTGACAGGTACGAGCCAGGGTGTTGATGAGAACTGGCGGCAGATTCTTCAGATGTTCTGGTCTAATCCTGTCTGGACCGGGTGTTGTTCTGTTTTTCACCGACGATATAGCATGTCGGATTTCGGAAGGGTGGACCGGTGGGACGACATATTAGTTTCCTTTCAATTTATATACGATAAGAGGACATGGCTAGCGAAGAGATCCGAGTAGTATTGGTGGACGATTTTCTCCATAGCCCTTGTAGAAGCTGTAAGTGTCCCGTCAGAGTATCGGAGTGCAATCGTCTTGGTCTTATAGTTGCCGAAGCCTCGCTGGGCTTTGCGAATGCACTTCCCAGCTTCTACAGCTTCTGCCATAACTGCTGCTCTTCTCTCTTTAAGGTTTTCTTTTATCGCTTCTCTGCAGCGTTTCGCAAGTTCTGACGTAAGGCTTTGGCTGCCTGTAGCTCGTGCGATTCCACGTTGACGTATCAGCTCGAGTGTCTGCGGAGACAAGCGTCTCTTCGTGACCTTAGGACTCTCGGCTTTCATAGCGCTAACGTGAAGATATTCAACGAGTTGATCGTATTCTTCGTCGATGTTGTTGACAACGGTATCTTCCCAAGAGCCGACTAATGATTTGAATACATCCCAGTTTATGGCAGTTCTGGGACTTCGTTGCTTGAATTTAGCGCCTTTCTCTCCACTCCTCAATAAAAACGGAACGTTGCTCGAAGGAGGCGATGGTCTGATCCCGTGTAGAACTTAGGAACAACAGCGACATCGGTCAGGCAAAACCTTCGATTTACTATGATGTGATCTATTTCGTTATTGTACTCTCCATTGGGAGACTCCCACGTCCATCGCTAAGAAGGAGGCTTTTGGAATTGCGAGTTACCATGGATGGTTTGGGTCGTTATGATAAACTCAGATAGCCTCTCACCCTGTTCATTCCATTCTAGTCCGCAGGTCCCTATGTGACGTTCTCCCGATGTTCTTCTAGGTCCAATTTTTGCGTTAAAATCTCCGACAATGACCTTGGAGAATGTATGATCTTCTCTGAAGATTTTTCGAGGTCCATATAGAATGCTTCGACTTCGTCTTCGTATAGCTTGATGTTGGTGCGTAAGCAACGAAGATTGTTAAAGCCGGCCTAGAACCACGTCGTTTCAACCGTAATCGTCCGATACGGGTTGTTAGTTGTTCGAACGAATCAATGCTCACTGTCAAATTCGAT